CATAGCACTGAGAAAGTTGCCTAGTGAATCGAACATACCAAAGCTATCACAAGGCCAGAATGTGCCAATAAGGTCCTGTATCCAGGTCCAGATATGATTTTCAAACCATTTATCAACACATCATCATGTCTGCATACACAGTCAATGCAGGGAGGAAAGAATGTACAAGTATCTGTACTGGAAATGTACAAGTATCCTCAGATTCAGTTGGAAATAACAGGATTTAGCTGTGGTACAATGAAGGCAAGGGTTGATGGGAAAGTGGAAGGAAAAACCCAATAAAGCAAAAAATATAAATAAGGATCTGGTTGAGAAGAGCATACAGATGGCAGTAACCATAAGGGATACTTGTGAAGATCATTATCACAGCCTGAAACAGAATACACCACCATACTAAGACACAAGACAAAAGGAAACCAAGCACCGTAAGTTTTCTTGGTGAAAAAGAAATGTGAAAAAACTGCAGTTCACAGTGGTTCACTGTAAAACTAGGCACATGTAGTTAGGAAAGGATATGCTTTCCTAGAAAACCCTGAAAGGCTTCACAAGTCTGAAGTGTAATAAATCTCCATCTAGTTTTCCCCATGTCACACTTAAGTGCAAATATTCGGATGCATTAATGGGGAGAGCTGCAGTAAAGAAGCTATTAAAGGGTGATGTCCACCAAACATTTATGTAAATGCTACATATTACAGCAGGAGTTTTGTTCAACGTTCAAGTAATTTTTAAAAAATTAAATGCATGTGTGGAATAGCTGTTAATTTAATGGGCAAGAGGCAGAGGACCATTCTGTACCTTACCCATCTAAACCAATCAAATTGGCCCTGCAAGTACTATTCCTTCTGGGCAAAACAGCAATGGATAAATGTAATTTAGGGATGGAGAAAAGGCACAGAAGAAAGGTTATGCATCTGTACTCACACCAGTTTCTCTGATCAGAACAGCAGCCATTCTCAAGCACCTGCATTTGGATGTTTTTTAAAGATTAAAAAATCAATAAATCTTCTGGAGCAGCAGCTCTCAACTTTTAGACCTCTAGTTGTTTTAGACCTGAACTCACAGAATGTCCAGGCAGAATGTCCACTGGTCAGGGATTCTGGAAACTGGTCCAAAATGTCTGAAAAGGAAAAGATTGAAGACCACTATCCTAGAGGTTGAGAACCACTCTCCGACAAGAACATGTAAAGTAGATCTGACACTAAGTGCACCTAACACCTTATTCTTGAAAACCATTAATAAGAAGGAATCACTTGCCCATGGTAAGATCTCACACCTCTGTGATAAAGTGGTCACTAAGTTAGAAACATATACTGTAGCTGAGTTCAACTGTTTCAGATCAATATGAACTATATGGGAAAACCAACATGATTTGCTTGACCCACAAGATTCTGGTATTTATCTATACTGTACAATAGTCTCTGATCTCACTATGAAGACTTGACCCACAAGATTCTGGTATTTATCTACAATGGTCTCTGATCTCACTATGAAGTAACACAATGTAACTAGATATGTAAAATTTCCAAAAATTTCCATTTTTTTCTGGGGGGAGAGAAAAAAAACTTTTTTCCAGAAAAAATGAAAAATTTAAGAAATTTTCCATCTCTACTAAATACTAATTAGAGCTGGTGCAGCCAAGCCAGTACTGGGGAGGTAGGATCAAACTAGTTCCCGCTGAAATCAGTGGGACTCAAGTCACAAGTACATTGTCGTAAGTCCCACTGACACCAGTGGGACTTATATTTAACTAAATCTGGACCCAATCCAAGTAAAATTTCCAAAAATTTCCATTTTTTCTGGAAAATGTGGGACTTACATTTAACTAAATCTGGACCCAATCCACAGAAGCTACTTAGTTAAGACATTTGTGAACATTTAATTGCCTGTGGCTCCAGTTCCGTTATCTCCTTTTAAAACACCTCCTATTAAGTTCTCCATACTTCACTGTCATTATCTAATTGTCCTACAGAAGAAGCTACTTAGTTAAGACATTTGTGAACATTTAATTGCCTGTGGCTCCAGTTCCGTTATCTCCTTTTAAAACACCTCCTATTAAGTTCTCCATACTTCACTGTCATTATCTAATGTGTCCTACAGTACAGTATGTGTACTACTTACTACTGGACAGACTAAATGCAAAAAGAACTATGAAAGAACAACATTCTCTCTTTAGCCTTTGTAAAATTACCTCTTTAATAAATTTCCAAATTATGAGACTTTTTCTTGAACAATAATGAACAGAGAGGCAATAAGGGACTTTAGCTTTTTATCAGTTTCAACAGCAGCAACAGTTTAAAATGCTGGCGCCCCAGCCTTGCACAAATGGGACAACTTGTTGGACAAAAAAAAGGAGACCAAGTTCTTCCTTTCTTCTAAATGCAATGCAAACATCAGTTAACTGATGAAGGAAGAAGCCTATGGGAAGAATGTGAGAAAGACACACTACCCCATCCTACACCTGTTTACTTAAAATCTAGACCCTTTGAATTCAGTGCATTTTAATTCCAAGAAAGCATAAGAAAAGAGCCCTGGAAAATTCAAGAGCTCTAAACATGAAACGAGTGACTACTGTAAACATAATGTATGTGCACCAGGAACTGTCTTCCAAGATAGATGGTACTGCTATATCAGAAAAAATTATTCACCGAAAAGAGCTTAGGTGGAAAAATTTTTTACACCTTGTCACTGCATGTCACGTGACAGAGCTATTAAAATGATAATGCGCAATCAGCTTCTCTCACTGTGAAGAAGCTGGTTAGTTTCAGTATATCGCATAGCTGATGCAGATTAAGGCCTCTAATAAACACACAGGGTCCGTTATACTGTATTGTCATTCTGCATCACCAAAGGAGTCTTTAATTAGCAGATCACTGTCGCGATAGGATACGCAGTCTATGTCTGTAACCCGATGAAGAACAGGCCAGGTCGCAAAGAAAATTTCAACCCTCAGAGGCTGCTTGAAAATCCAGGATTCCTGTTACCTAATTATCCTTTAATGTATCTAGGTCACGAACCATCATAATATCATTTAAGTACAGTATTATTGTATGAGCAATGATGCTTTCTACCCACTCCCTTCAAAGCAGCTGCATGCCAAGCCTGACGTCATCTTCAAGAAAAAAAAAAGAGCCAGCCCTCACAATAATAAAATAGATGCTACACATACAAAAAAATAGGTCCAGTAAGTGCAGTATTCAAGATGGGGAGTCAACTAACAGTATTCTAACCACCCATAGTGGGTAACATACGTTATGTGCAATCTAATATCCAAACCAATTGAATGAACTCATGCCTTACATGATACATTTATCTAAAACCTTTATTCTGAACTCATTTACTGCAAGCAAGCCCAACTGGCTTCACTGAAGCTTGCTTCCACATCTGTGCTTAGAAACACAGCCGACTCCGTCCTTAGGCTCGCTTACTTGAAAATGGATTTATATCTCAGCTTAACTATGTTGTGAATCAAAGAGACTATTTTTTTTACTGTTATGTGAGAACAATGAAAAGGTATATTTCAGTACTTTGTCTCCAGACTTATAGTCCAGATAGGCGGGATATAAATTCAATAAATAATAATAAATAATAGTACTGTAGTACTGTTTTAACGGGGCGGGGGGCTAAAACACAAGTCAGAGAGAAAGGTGCTGCTCTCAGGCACAGCATTCCACCAAGCCAATCTTACTTTCTAAAACGCAGGTTATTCATTCACTCTTTGGCATAATAAATTTAATGCCAACCATTACACTGACAACGGCTAACGGGAATACAGCAGAGAAACAAACGTGGATCTTGACTAAACACACATGGCATTTGTCCAACTATAATCTTGGGAGTGGGCAGAGCCGGATGGTTAGAGAGAAGAAGCCCGCAGCAAGTGCAAAGCAGAAAGAAGCCATGGAGACAGCAGGTGCTTCGGAGAGGTTAAAGGAACACTGCTGTTCATTAACTCATGGTTTCAAATAAATAAAGATTTTAATTTAAAAAAAAAACATGCAGTGCCCTTCAGCAGCGAGCCATCCACAACCCTTCTCAAAGGTACTGAACTGCACAGAAGGCAGAGACGACAGCAATTAAGAAGGCTGCGGTTTAAAATACTGAATTATCCGTGTGTTCGTGCATGATGCACCAACTGCCTCATTCATAAACACCAGAGGCGTCTTTATTGGGCAGATCTTTACAGCTGCTCAGCCTATGTGGGGAGGAAGGCTGCAATTTAACAGCCTTTTTTCGGGTATCCGAAACGACCTGAAAGGCATCAAAGCTTGGTCAAAAACCTACCTATATATATATTTCAGCAGAACGTGGGAAACGTTCATGGAAAAAACGACACGGGTCGACATTCACCCAACGCTACTACTCTTCCCTGCAAAGCCAGGGCAGGACCAAGCAGCCCTCGGAGAAGAGCCCGATTTGATTACGACTGTTTTTACAGCGCTTCAAGTGACACAGATATTGGAGGAGGGGGAAAAGGAGGGGGGGGCGAATATAGCTTATCGCTGAAAGGATAAAAAAGGGAGCGGGGGGGGGGAATGCAGGACTCTCGCCCGAGGCAGCAACTTTCTTCTCCGGGCTGCTCCCACGCAGGGTTATTTAAAGGGAGGGCGACAAGGTGTGGGGGGCCCCGCAAACGAGGCGCAACCCTCAGCCCCTTCTCGTCCATTTCCCAGACACGGTCAATGAGAAACTAGGAGCAGGAGCCGAAACGGGAGGAAACGGCGTTTTCTGTATCAGTAAACCACCACCCCCGCCGCCGCCGCCGAACAGGCAGGCAAGGCATTGGCGCAGCAAATATTAACCGCGGCTGATGCCACTGCAAAGCCCCGTTACTACCCTCCTCGGAGCCTATGAATAACTATTGGAAAAATAAAGAAGACAAGACAAGACAAGGGAAAGCAAACAGAGAGAGTTACCCCCTCCCAGGCGCCCCCCCCCACACACACACACTCTTTGCCCGAGGTGGCGGGGATGTTCCCATCTCGGGGCTGCGGGCGACTCACCCAGAAAACGAAGGAGTAGATGATCAGGAGGGTTTTCAGACACGTTATCACGGGTTTGGTCTCCATTCTCCTCGATGCCATAATACTGAAATCCCGGCTGCTGGCTCTGGGCAGGGGGAGGGGGAGAGCGCGAGAAGGGGGGGGGAGGAGGAGGAGGAGGAGGAGGAGGAGAAAGGGAGGAGGGAGGGAGCGCGGAGCTCCGTTCGCGCCTCCACAGAGCGGCTGAGCCGCGCCGCCCGGCCCTCCGCGCTCCCGTTAATCCTCCTCCTGTCGCCGCCGCCGCCTGGAGGGCTTTCTTGGCAGCCGTGCCACGGAGAGGACCCGCGGGAAGGGGCCGCCGCTCGCTGCCCTGCCTTTCACCACCTTGCAGCCGCCGCCGCCACCACTACCACATCCCACAACCACAACCCCCGCTGTGCAGTCGTAGCCGCGAGGAAGGCGGCCAGGGCTGCCCACCCCTCCATCGCGATGATGGGCCGAGGATTGGGAAGGGGTCGGTGGTGGGAAGGAGAGAGAGAGAGAGAGAAAAAATGGCCCTTGTCTCCCTCTTTCCCCCTCGCCTCAGGATAAGGAGGCTGCTGGACTAGGAGGCAATGGGCAGGGGCGCGCCAAAGACCCCGCTTGTGGCGACCGTGAGAAGGGAGGCATCTCCGAGCAGTGGGCGGCTCGGGACCGGAGCAGCGGCAGGGCAAGCTCCCTCCTTCGACAGGTCGGGGTGAGGCGGACCCCCAGTGAAGCTTCGTGGAAGAAGGGGTCGCGGAGAACGTGCCTGTGAACGAGGAACGGGAATAACGTCTGTGGGGAAAGCAGGGTAGTCATATAATAATTGCACAGGGGGAACCCATCGGTTGTGGGCTTAAGAGAGGGTGTTAAGAAGGCATAGGGCCTATTCACGCGACCCATGAGTGTAAGGCTGGAGGGCACGGGGGGGGGGCGCGTGAAAAAGCTGGGCGAACCGCCCCGTTGTCCATCTGATAACTTCTTCTCCTTTGGGATGGGGCCCTGCAAACAGTTCGATTTTTGCGTGTACAACATAACATTGCCTTTAGCCTGGAAGCTCAGCTGGCACGGGTTTTTAGCTGTCACGAAAAGGGGTTTTGTAAGGTGAGGCCCAAACTTTTAAAAATGAAACAACAACAACAACAACAACAACAACAACAACAAT